AACGCCATGAGCTATGATTGTACAGCGTAATCGGTTTCGTACATTTCTGCAGCAAAAGAGAACTTTCTAATTTCAGCTCATTTTTGTTGGTTCAGAAAAATGTAATGTTTTTTTTTCCCGGAAAATAAAAGGAACCTGCTGAACGTAGACCTCGAGATGATCTTGCAGATTATTGCCAACACCTGGCATGTGCTGCACCAGCGGAATCCTGTGTGCCTGCAAAAAGAAAAAAGTTAAATATATACTAATTACAACTGTTCTAACGAAAACTGTGAGAAAAACTACTCACTCTGATGTTATCGGCCGGTCCAATCCCGCTCAGAAGCATCAGCTGTGGAGTGTTAATTGCGCCACCAGCAAGAATCACGCCTTCCTCGCAGTACACTTTTTCGCGATTCCAAGAATCGATGCCTTCGCAAAGCGGGCCACTCTGAATTAGTAAGAAATTGCACAGGTTTTCATCCGTATTACAGTTTCACGGGAAAACCTCAAAAAAATCTAGCGAAATATTCTACGGATAGCGGTGTTAAGGGATCGCAACAGACCTTTCTTATAAATTCGATACCAATTGCTTTTTTGCCATCGAATAATATACGAGTGCAGAGTATGTTTGAAGATGCGTGTAGATTCGGTCGCGACAGTGCCTGGCAATGAAATGAATATGCGCAAAATCATGGCAACAACCGGGGCGGGACAAACTGCGATAATCGTTGAACTTACAGGCCAGAGGTAAGCCCTTGATGTACTCCATCGCAAACCCTTGTAAATAGTAAGATCCATTGGTGCAGTCCCCTCCTGTTTGTACCCGTTCATATCGTCCACAACACCAATACCATACTGCAAGACAGATTCACTGGTGAGAACTGCTAAATGGGCGAAATTTCTCACAGAACCAAGCCCCTTCAATGAGGGATTTAAGGGGCTAAGTAAAAATTTAGCTTACCAAATTTCCCGATTCAATGAAGGCCCTGTGTAACGGGTTTTCGCATCTGCCTTGCATTACATGCAACGGACCATTCCAACCACGATAAAGATCAGTGGGCCCCTTAGACAGCTCATGCGTTTGGGCTTTCTTAAAATAAGGTAATACGTCCCTGAAAAAAAATTTTTTTTCACTGAATCTGTAATCAAAGTGATCTACAGGACGAAGAGGAGTGTGAACGAATTTTTGTTCAAATATAATTAGCCCTGGATCGAAGTGCCTGGTATAGCTGCGCCTGGCACATGGGAGCATCCCAGTAAGATCACTAACATGGGGCCTCAACAACTGGAATAATTTATAATGTCACATAATGATTTATTGTTTTTTGTTAAAAATTGCGTAAAGAGCAATTGCACCACTACGATGCAACCATTCGCGGCTCCCACTTCAATCATTGGACACCCAACCCAGTTAGAGCTATGCAGTCTTTGTGATCTGTGACCACTGGGGTATGAAAGCACTCCTCCCCATTTCCGACATCCAGAGTCGCAGTTGCTTCGGTTCCCCGGAGCCTCGCCTTCTTTTTATTTGTTATTCTCCCCTCGCATTTCAAGTATTTTGTATAACTGTAGTCTCTTGTACATAATTACATAGCTGTCTCAAGGTGTTGGCTAACATACACACTTCACATATACATACGCATATAGGGCATACACACACACACACACACACTAGTCCTACTCTCAAATTTTTAAGGTCACGATAATGGGTTAAGCCATGGTGCGCTTACTTTCAATATTTCAATTCCCAGTCTTTTGCTTTTCTAACTTAGAAAACTCCAAAAAAATAGGTTCGGGGAAGTACTAATAAAAGTGGCAGCGCAGTTCAGGTAACTGCCTAATACAACTTAAAAAAAATGGCACCAGTGCTTTCTCATACTGTTGGGACTCATGGAACGTACTTATAGGACCAGCGCTTGGCCCCTTCCCGCTCCCAGCGATCGTAGTCCAGCGGATGACCGCGAACATACACCATCGCGTTGATTGTGGACGAACCTCCCCAAACACGGCCACGCGGCCAATAGATTGTTCGTCCATTCATGTTCTTCTGGGGCTGCGTAAAGTAAAACCTGCAAAATTCCATCTATTTTCAGTCACAGCGGTATACGCTGGTTACAGCTAAGGGAGAT